CTCAAGAATAAGTAACATGCATTAATTATGCATCAACCTAAAATTATCAGTCCTACCTTGGAACGTGGTTCGCGTAGGAAAGGCGTTGAGATATCATAAATTTAAGTCCGATCTGGAGATGATGGGTGAGGCAAATGTTTTCATTTTTGGAAGATGGACTTTTTGGTCTGAAGAATTTCAGTGTAGCAAGTATGCACTTCCAGAATTTTTTTCTGCATTCTTCTCGAACAAGAATAGGTCTCGTACTGGCGCTGCATGTTGACAGGCATCGTTGCTAATCGAGCTGCTTGCCTTTTGTACATAGCATAGGACGTGGAAAATGGGACCAAAGCCTAAAAAAGAAAAGTATAACGGTGTGATTTAAGATATTCCGAAACATGTATTGCGCTTCAAGCTCTTGCTTAATGTTTCGGAAATGATCATTGGTTGATTTCTGGTCCGATGTTCAGTACTATAGCGGTCAATCATTGTCTAGCGCCGACAAATTCTGAACCATCAAGCTTCAGCTGAGCAAATGAAGGGCACCAAAATGACCGCACGGTCACTGTACTATATAAATCCTCAGAAATAGCTCTGGTTCACTCCATTATGATCCAACATATTTTGATCGCATTAATTCTACCGTGCATATTTATACATGCAGCTACTGCAGCCATATTCGTCAAAAGCTTCGCCAAACCCTACGTTTTGAAGAAAACGTGGGTGGAAAACTTTGTGAAGTTCCAATACATTTTTGAAGGGAAAAATGCCACTGCAAAGATTGTCCCTATAGGCGAGTCACTGATTTTTTTGGAGTACTACCAATTCCTTATCTGTACTTTTCAGGATGTGTACCTTCAAATCAGGACGATGGTGAGGTATTGAAAGTCGGTGGCACCTTTGCCGATAAGGACTTTGAATTTGCTTGTCAGCAGAGCGAGGATGGAGTCTTGAGCTATGAAGCTGTTGGTGAGAAAATCATCAATATTTTTCAATATTAATAGTGGTTATTAGGATCCTCAAATCTTGTAAAAAAGGCCACTCAGAAATGGATCGGCCAAATGTATTCTTAACTTCAAAATTGTGAGGTTTCCGAAAACTACAAGAACGTGGGAGTATCTAACATCTTTGAATTTCAACACTTTCGAGTAACTGTGAAGTGCTGAAGTGGAGAGCAAGATCAAAAAATTTATAAAAAGTGAGTTTTGGTTGATAGTCTCAAAATGATTTGAGAGAGCTTTTCAAAACTCGATTTTCAAAAACCTTGAGTTCTTATGTTTTACTGAAAAATAATATGTGTCTTTCTGAAAATATAAGATTTGTGGAAGTTAAAAATTCATGTTCTTAAAGAGCGAGGTTATCTACAGAACTTTGGGCCAATTACAAATTTCGAATAAAGTGGAGATTTAGCTTGCGTTGATGCACATGGACAACGAATGCAACTTGGAGAAATGCGAAAATTGGCGAACGGTACCGTAATCCTACATTGCAACCTTTATGGTGGAGCATTGAAAAAAGTTGTGGAACGAGGTAAGTTTTATTTTCTCAAAAATCCCCCCTCAACAGTCTGACGTCTCTTCTGCAGCTGCTGGTTGCTATTACAATGAGACCATCTATGGAGAGGACGAGAAATGGATTGAGCCATTGATAAATGAGAACCCGACAAGGAGATATAAAAAAGTGGTAAGCCAAGCAAATTTATGTGAACAGACCATCAGCAAAAATCCCAAATGCTTTCTAAGCTGCCGTTCTCATTCGAATGCACCTGGACATGATTCAAAAATTATAGGAAGTCACAATGATTTGGTCTTTCTGATAGAAAATCTTTCGATTCTTGTCAAAGTTTCTCCGCATAATTTTTTGTCTTTGCAAAAGGGCCTTAGATTCTTTAGCACAAAAATTATTGCCGCAATAAAAGAGATACTAGATCCAATTCGACGGTCAGAAGTGTGATGCATCGGTTGAAAAAAATTAGGGAATTCACGGCATGAGTGTAACACCCACATCTATTAATATAAGTAAAGATTACTGCCTTTATAATAATTTTTTATAGAAGCCAATCAAGGCGAAATTGTCTGGAAATACTTCCGAGCTAACAGGTCGACTGATGGAATGCTTCCGTCCTCACTACAGTTACTATGAAAGCCATTTGATCGGTAAGTGTCTTGTAAATTTTCTGGAGACTCGGGCTTTACATAGCGTAACATGAGAAGGAACCCCTATATATATAGTTTGCTAAGGTAAAGCACAGTATTCTCTGGAGCTGACTGTAACTTAGATATTACAGCGAGTCAACAACCGGTCGCTCTATATTACTATAGGATTCCAGTCGGAAATTTAGTAAAAATTTATGCCTTTGCAAATCACATTTCGGCTTAGAAAGAAAACGGAACAAGCCAGAACCTCTTATACTAGGCTAATCAAAGGCGCGCATTCACATTTAAAACTTTCCTTTTACTGTGATGTTTCCTTTATAAGTTACTGCAAGTGTACCTTAACAACTGTTTTTCGATTTCGTCGGAAATGTGGTCGTACCAATGAGGATGCTCAAAAAACTCGTAAAAAGTGTGTAGCGAAATCAGCATCATCAAATATCCCCCTATACAATTTCAACGTAAAATTGTCAGACGGCCATTTTCACAGTGGTTCTATATGCCGCAGCTTACCGTAATCCTACAGGTCCTACAGTAATGAAAATGGTCTAATTCGCATTACGTTGTAAATCTAACTTGAAATCAACTCAACAAAATGATACCTGAACATCGGTGAAAGACATTCACATGAAAGTGTTATCAACGATGAAGCAATCTGCACATTTTTGGACACCCTATATATCTCTTGCCACAGTTCTTCGATGAACCATATCGAAAGCTTTTAGGTTGGCTAAAAATAAGTTCGTTTTGGCACGCAAATCTTCAAAAAAGTTTTTCTTGTTGTTTTCTATTCATGGTTTTTTTGTGGGAAAGTAGTTTAAAGCTTCTTCTATCACATAGAAAACATTCAGGATTTTCTATCAGCAGCAAAGGCAGTTATGCCTCAACATTGCTAAATTTCTAAAAGCTCAATTTTTTGACTTCTTGAACTTCGATTTTATGCTGTAATGGACGTAGAGAACAGTAGTTCCGTACTTGGATACAGAGTAGTTTCCCCTATTTGGTGAATACTAATGTAAATTGTGATCTGCAACTTCGAAAACCTTGTATCAAAAAAACCC